GTTGAATTAGTAAAGGACGAGAGAGTAAAGGATACTGGTTGGTAACTATTATTCATGACATTTTAATTCTCAACTAGTTTGATATATATTGACATTTATACTTGCGCATGAGCCCACTTATTAGCAGTAATAATAAATACACAAATATCAAATATGTTACGAAATAAAGAGCAATAAGTATTGCAAAATAAATACGTTCTGACGCAACCTTCCCAGTATTTTATATATCGTTTTGACAGAAAAGATGTAAAAATAAAAGTATTCAGTGGAAATCCTTACGTATGAGTCTTATATAAACAGAATAAAATAGTCATTTATCTTAATCTTATGTTCAGACCTCCTCTTGTTAATTGAACTTAAAAAATAAAAAAATTGAAGCTCTGAAACTGGAGCTCTGAGCCCAACACCAACCAGTTCTGGAGCTACAACTCCATGGTTTCAATGTATTGTCGGTACATCGTTCACTCCTGAGTGTATTAACATCATCATAGATATTCCGTTGTCCCCAAGCAACATTTGTAATGCCCGAACATCAGTGGCGATTAACTACTGGAAAGTTCATAATATATGCTTAATATAAGACTAAAGCTACCAAAAATAAACCTGATGGTAAACATAATTTTTTGATTTCTTTTCTTGAATAACTTTTGAAATAGTTATAGAGACATTTTTTTGTCAATATTTGTCCAATTTTATAGAGACATTTTTTTGTAACTTTGACTCGTTTTGTCTACTAAACTGTTATAGGCGGCTTTTAAGAGTGAGGAAATATAAATTTATATCCATATATACATTAAGACTGAAAAGTTTTCGGAAATTCTCATTTAAAATTCGCGCGCTGTATATTTTTCGATATTTTAAGTTATGTAGTTTGGCAGCACTGTCCTTAATTACTATGCAAAAAATGAGCGCGATCTGTCAGACAGTTCGTTTACGGCAGCTGTTGAAACCAGTTCACCTCAGTAGTGCGTTGCGAAATGTCTTCGACGGTCGTACGACCGTACTGAAAGGCTTTGTACCACTCATAAACTTGAGTTTTCGATAAAACTGATTCCCCATAAGCCTTTTGTAGCATTCGCAACGATTCTGCACACGAAATTTCGTTCGAAACACAAAATTTGATGCAAACTCTTTGTTCAATATTTTTTTCCATTGTTTTTTTCGCAACGCACTACTGAGGGGAACTGGTTTCAACAGCTGCCGTAAACGAACTGTCTGACAGATCGCGCTCATTTTTGGCATAGTAATTAAGGACAGTGCTGCCAAACTACATAAACTTAAAATATCGAAAAATATACAGCGCGCGAATTTTAAATGAGAATTTCCGAAAACTTTTCGGTCTTAATGTATAATATCCGTGTAATCAAATTTTTATCTAACAATTTTAAAGAGATTTATGAGAATTATATCATAACATTTTTTATCTTACATTTATTCTAAAAATGCGGATAACAGTATACTTTCAATGTGAACAATTGTCAGAAATTATTGTTTTATTATTTATTTTTTAGGAACGTTGGACTCACATAACATATATTGTATTAAACAATACATTATCTTTAAAAATATTCGTTTCGTAATAATGAAAATTATTTACTTGAAGTAAACGCTCTGTTATCTAAAGAGTTCCAAGTTATAAGATGCACTTGCATACATTATATCAGTTTTAAGTTTTCTTATAAAACCGCTTGTTATTTAAGTAAACTACATGTTGTTATTGTTACATTTTTGTTTTTTTTTTATTTAAATACCTCTAAATTTAGTGACTATCAATAAAGCTTGTTACCTGGTAAGCGGTTAAGTTGGGTCCTAATGTAATAACGTAAGTTTCAAAACATACGCAACTTTTCACTTTCATATTTAAAAACTGCCAACGAAATAGCAACTACTTGCCACTTATAAGGCAAGTAACTTAAACCAGCAAAAAAATGTGTCTAAAAAAGCATCCTCGCAACATGTGTATAACAAAATTCCAAATATGCATTATTGATATGCACCAGCGGCGGCACACATTGAACGGTTTGTGTATGTGAACAGGTTCGAATTTTATTTTATTCAATTTTTTGTTTTTTGGTTTTTGTGATATTTTTAGTTTCGCTGCAAAAAGTGTAAATTTTTATTATGAGGAAAATATTTTAATTGATGTTCCATCAACTATTAAAACAAGCTGAGATACTTGTTTAATTTATTTTATTTATTTTTTTCCGTTATATTAGTTTTTTTTTTCTTTACCAACCTTACATAGGTCAAAATAAATATTTCGAAAATTTTACATTTACTTCAGAGTTTTACTACTTTAGTTTCAGTTATTAATTTTAATTATATTATTTATTTTGAAACTTTATTTTGTCTCATGCTTAGCTAAGGTGACAGAGTGACACTTGACAGTTGACAATTTGCAGTCATAGTTTTACGGTAAAGCGATTTTTCTTGCTTTATGTGCATATAAATTTTTATGTTTCTAGCTTATAAAAGTGGTAATTCTTCTTTATTTGGCACAATAGCAACACATGGTGCTGCAACTTGTGGTGCTTTCTAAGTCAATAGCAACAAGTGTTTACATTTTGTGATGAACTCATTGCAAAATAGTTACATATTTTTAGATTTAAATTGAAGGTAAAAATTAATTAAAAAATTTATTTTTAATATAGAACTACTACTTTAAGTAATAATTGTAGGATAATTGTAGAATTTTCGCATCTCTTATGTTTACTATAATGCTGATACGTTTGCTCCATTTGATACAACTTGGGTCAAGTATTTGCTCACATTTAAAAAACTGTAATTACTTGTTTCTGTCCATCATCGACAATATAGATAATATTATAGATAAATGGTAATCTGATCGGAATTTACTTTACATTTCGCGCTAATGAGTTGTAGCTTGATTAGCTTTAATGCATAATGTTTGATTGCTGGATTATAAAAGTTTTGCTGTAACAAAAACCAAAAATAAAAGAAAAGTTAAAAAATAAATTTAAATAAAAACCAAACAGTGAAGTATAAAACTAAATTCCAGTTTTCATTTCATAGGCAAATATTTTCAAATTAATTGTGAGAAAAATAAAATTTGCAAATATTTGTAATTACACTGAACTGCTCATTAATTAAATTATACTTGTTTTACCATTTGGCAATACAAACAACTTCTTTAGAGCATTTTTTACACTTCGCATTCTACTGTATATTGGCGTCACATCCATCACAAGTGACTAAGGTAAGGTGACTTTTTCATTTTTGAATGATGAGCGTGTTTAACGGTTTTCGAGTTGAAAAGCGTCGTAAGTGTAAATTGACCCACTTTTAAAGCCATTCTGTTTGTTGCTTATACATTCCATGCAAAGTTTATACTTTAATGAGATTTCATTGTTTAATGAGATATATTGTTTGGCAATAATTCTTTAATGTTCTAGTTTCAACATAATTTTATAAATTATTTCACTAATACATATGAACTACAGCGGATACTAAAATCAATTTTAATAAGTTTTTGTTAACAAAATGTTTGTTTATTTTGCTTTATCACAGCACAGCACAGCACAGCACTTCTGTCTGTTGTCTAGTATTTTTCTTAAGTATATTTTTATTTGAATATATTTGCAAAACCTCAATTAACCTATTTCATGTTTTGATTTTGACAACGATTATTGAAGAACATGGAGATTTTTTAATTTTTTGACAGCTTTTTATAGCTTCAATTTATTAAGTTTACTTCTTATTAAAGGATATGCATATAGTGAACACATAGTAAAAGATATATAGACGCAAATTTAGAAATTAATTAAAAATTTTTAACTTAATTGATTATTTGATGATTTAAATTACAATTTTTTACACATCAATTGATCATTTTAAATTGCTTAGAAGATTAAAGTGATTTCTTTGTAAATCTTACTTTAATCTTCAAGAATAAAACGAAATCGATGATTTCCTGGTATGTAATTTGTCTTCAAATAAAATGCATTTAAAAATATCTAATTTCTGCTAATGTGCAATTCATTCAAATTACTATTGTAATACATACTATTTAGCTATACTAAAAGATATAAATCGTGATTAAACGGTTCAATAAAAATTTAACTTGCAAGTAACTTCGATATTACTTGGCTTTTTAGTGCACTACGTTTAATAAAAAAAGCTTAAAACACACTTTAGTTTTCAAAAAAAAAAGAATATATGAAAAATATGAAATAATAGCGATAACAACAAAAACAATAATAACAAGTAACAGCTAAAACCAGATCAACAAAATAAAATACATTGTGTTCTCATGAATTAGATAAAAAACTATCTGAGATTTCTTGAAAGTTTAATAACATTTAAGTCTTCGTTAGTGCGCTTACACATCGAGATCTAACGCATGTATTAATAATTGATTTTCTTTTTAAACGGTTTTGAAAATGATTTTTTGCTTTTCAAGTTACCGACTCAGATTCAAGTATGTGTTTATACACATGTTGCGTGCTGTGAGTTTTGTTGTTTGCAGCATGTTTAGGATGAAGTCTATCCCGGGGCTTGTGGTTATCCATCAATATTGATGCTCTTTAGAAACTCTTCAAAACAATAACGTTAACACGATTACGTGACCATTTTCCGCTATGGGAAATTGTTGGACGCTTACAGGCACTGATCAAGGCGGCACTATTTAGTCTTCAATGAAATTCCTGAAGAAATACTTATTAACCGACAAATATATTTTTTTTCAGTGAGTGTTCTTCTAATGAATTGTTATTTTTATTTAATAATTTCTTTTGGTTACTAATTATACTGCAGCGTTCTTGGACTTAATTTTGTTTCTTTAAATAATGTCACAAATTTTCTTGTTTTATTCATTAATTTGTTTTTGTTTGTGGAAAAGTCAGATATTTTCTACACATTTTATAGGTTTTTGTGCCAAA